GTAAATAATTATAATGATGAAACTGACACTGGTAACACTTCCCCCCTTAAAGGAAAGAAAGATTTATGCAATAAATCTTTCTTTGTTTTATACTAAAACAAAAGATAATAATATTGTTGAACATATAGTACAACGTAAAAGGATAATACAGATTATAAGTAAAAGCAATCAAAATTCATGTAAAACAAAGTATACATTAGTTAAAACTAAAATAGAATAATTAAGCAAAATAAAAATATATATGGTAATATATGAATTCAAAATTAATAGGTAATTACATGCAAATCAAGCAGAATCATAAAACTTTCAAATAGCAAACATATCAATTGTTTACGGTTTATGATTTAGACTCGAGACAAAGCATCGGGGACTAAGTTATCTTTTCCCTTAATGTGCTGAATTATCAGGTCATATTCTTGTAGGATTAAACTCCACCTCATCAAACGTTGATTATTGTTCTTCATTTTATTTAAAAATGTGAGGGGATTATGATCGCTGAAAACAGTTAGGGGTTTAACAGAAGAAGATACATAAACATCAAAATGCTGGAGTGCTAAAATTAAAGCAAGGCACTCTTTCTCAATCGTGGAGTAATTTTTTTGATAACGCTTGAATTTCTTTGAGAAATAGCATACAGGATGGTCAATACCATCGTCGTCTTCCTGTAAAAGTACGCCCCCAGCACCAATATCACTAGCATCGACGGCTAATTTAAAATCCATATCAAAATTTGGTGCTGAAAGAACTGGTGTGCTTTTAAGTACGGCTTTAAGTTTGTCAAAGGCGAGTTGACATTGGTCTGACCAAATAAATTTCACCCTTTTTCTTAGTAAATTAGTTAAAGGGGCAGCAATAACAGAAAATTGTTACAGAATTTTCTGTAATATCCAGCCATACCAAGAAAGCGCATCAATTGCTTTTTACCATTAGGTGCAGGGAATTCAGAAATAGCCTGGACCTTAGCTTCAACAGGTTTAACCTGCCCCTGCCCAACAACATATGTCCCAAAAATGTTACAGAAGCATGACAGAATTCACTTTTAACTAAATTAACAGTCAAATTTGCTTCTGTGAGCTTGTCGAAAAGGTCCTTGATGGTCTGTAGATGATCTTCCCAGCTTTCTGTGTATATAATAACATCGTCAATATAAGCGTCGCATCCGTCAATTCCCGCTATAATCATATTGACCATTCGCTGAAATGTAGCAGGCGAATTTTTCATGCCAAATGGCATTACCTTGTACTGGTAGAACCCATGTGGTGTTACGAATGC